CCTGTGCGTGGCATCCAGACGCTTCCTCTGGGAATTCCTGGGAGGATGGGGTCTGGCTTTTCCTGTGGCAGGAGTCCTTGCTCGGTGCGTGGCTGGAACCCCCGGCAGGTGAGTGCGGCTGGCCGGGGCAGGCTCACGTGCTGCTCAGTGGCTGGTGTTCCACGAACCGTGCTGCTCGGTGGTGGTTGTCCCACGAACCAGGCCGAGCGGCAGCCCCGGGCTGTGGTTCCTGGTCTCTTGTCTGCAGCTGCGGTGGCCAAATCCAGCTGAATTAGGAAGCGGAATCTTGAATGCCCATCAGCTTTTCCTGGCTTGTTTTAGTGTCCTCTCCATTTTCTGGTTTTGGTCACTGACGGGTAGTTTTTTGTGGGTTTGTCCATACAGGTTTATTAGGAAGCGGGAGCAGGCGCTGGGGTGTCACTTGGCTGGGTGTCCCAGTCAGCCAAGGAACAACAGGCAGTTGTGCCGGAAGGGAGTAGCGAATGGTCCCTGCTTTCCCCCCAGGCACTGCACACCCCTGCGGATGTGCCAGCAGTGCCTGCTCAAGGGAGCTGCTGCAGGAACACGCCTGCTGATCCGTTATTTGCATGGGATTCTCCTAACAGCCATCAAGTCCTGCGAATGGCAGGGTTAAAAAGAGCCCAAACCAAACCCCCCGGCCCACCGCGTTTGAGTTAGAGGGGGGCTCAGTTTAACCAGCCGCGTGGTACGTGGCGCTTTGATTCTTTATTTTGAAGATACCAAACGAATTCTGAAGGCAACGCAGCGCTCTGGGGTTTTTCCTCCCCCAGATATTGTGATGGCCATGGCCGCCACCAGAAGTGTGATGAGAGCTGTCAGAGTTTTTGAATTTGGTGGCCCTGAAGTTCTTCAGCTCCAGTCAGATGTCCCAATTCCTGATCCAAAAGAAAATCAGGTATGTGCGGATTCTGTGAACTGCAGTAATGACACTGGAGGATAACAGGAGCGCTCGGAAAGAATGGGGCATACAAACCAAAAGCCTTCATCTTGACTGTGTGGTTTTTGATCAGTGTATTTGTTCTGCCTGAGTCTTCACCTTTAACAAATGTGGGCTTTTACTGACACATGGGCTGCGTGTTCCATGTAAAGGATTTCCAGAACTGGCTTCAGCTCACCACCGAGTTGTTGCTGGCTGTTTAGAGTTTGGTTAACGTGCCATGATACTGTGCCGTGGACTCAAGCTCTGAATCTCTTTAATTATTGCCTAAGAAGTATTGTTTCTTTCAGGTGTTAATTAAAGTCCATGCCTGTGGGGTGAATCCTGTTGAGACATACATTCGTTCTGGAAACTACGCCAGGAAACCAGCGTTGCCCTACACTCCTGGCTCAGATGTGGCCGGTGTGATAGAAGGTGTGGGGCAACGTGTGGCTGCATTCAAGGTATTTGTACGTTGGGTTTTAACTCCCTGTTTATTGTATCCTCCTTGTGCGACTGCTACACGACTGTTCCTGGTTTTATTGCTTCTGATGATGTAAGCTGTTGAGGGAGAGGGGAAATCACCTTCTTTGACTGGTTAGAGCGCACAGTGGTTCCACACTGGCAATCCAGCCTGCAGGCTGAGCTGGAGGGGTCTCATGCTGCTGACTCCCAGTTGTTAAAAGGTCCCAGAAGAGGCACTTTGGTTTATCTGCTTAAAGCAATGGCATCAGGTGCACACCTTCTTTGGTGAGAGCGCGAGGGGTCTCATGCAGCTGACCCCCAGGTGTTAAAAGGTCCCAGAAGAGGCACTTTGGTTTGTCTGCTTAAAGCAATGGCATCAGGTGCACAGAAGTGGTCCAGAACGGCTTTTATGGCACTTTAACAGGAGAGCTGCTAGAGAGGGCCCAAACTCCTGCAAACTGGTTCTTGATGTACGTTGAGGAAAAAATAAGGGAGATCATTAATTTCTCTGTTTTCTTTCCTCCTTTCTAGAAAGGTGACAGGGTTTTTACCATCGGCACGATCTCGGGAGGATATGCAGATTATGCAGTCGCTGCAGCTAATAGCGTCTTTCCTTTGTCGGATGAACTGGACTTCAGGCAAGGAGCAGCGATCGGAATACCCTACTTCACTGCTTACCGCGCCCTTTTCCAAAAGTAAGGAGCCAAAGTCTGAGTTTGTGCGCTTTCCTTGTGAATATGTAAATACTGAAGCCTGTGTTTTCATTGTCCGGTGAAAAGGGAGGGAGATCAGTCAGTGGGAAAGGCTGCAAATGCTTCCGGTCAAGGGCCTTTGCTGGGTAATTGTTACCTGGCAGGTAGTGACTGTATTGTCCTCTCAGGTATTTCTCCTGCAAAGGCTTCTTTGCTCAGTGTCGTGGAACAAAACCAGTAGCGCTTTCCCAGTGCTCCCTGGTATTTTAGCCAGGGAAGAAAACCAGGGATATTTCTAGTTCCGGAAGGCAGCGGACCATGTGTGTAGAGCAGACCCAGCCCTTTTCCCACTGCCAGCGAGGCTCTGCCGCCCTGCCTGGAGCCGAGGGAGGGCCAGAGCCCGTGTCACGGTGGGAGCTTGGGATGGAACCCGGGCTTAGTTTGGTAGAACAATGACTGGAACTCATGTGGGTTGTTCCCAAGGTTGAAGACTTTGACCGGGGGTTCAGTGCCAGGCTGTCACTCGCTGTGTGCTGACACACGCACGTTACTTTAGTCACAAACGACATGGCTTACTTTTCCTCCTTGTTTTCCCAAAGAGGCTGATGATACCTGTTTAGCCGTGACGTAAATTGGGAAGAATTCTGTGTGAGAGAGTGGTGCCAGCACATGCAGCCTGGTGCCGGGGTACCACAGTGCCAGTGTGTTCTGTTTTTCCCCCTCAGAGGGCGTGCCCAGGCGGGGGAGAGCGTGCTGGTGCAGGGCGCGAGTGGGGGAGTAAGTATTCTGAGCAGGCAAGTTTTACGAAATGCTGCTTTCTGTCCTCATATCTGCTTTTGTCGGTAATGTGATTTATGCTCACGTTTATATCGGTTACTGGATTAGTAATTACAGAATTAGTTTCTTTCAGACACCTCAGGATACTTAGAGCAAACCCCGTTATTCCAAGTAACTGAAACTGTGTGGGTGACTGTGTGAGGCCCCAGATACAGGGGTCACATAATAAACACCTTGCTGCAGCTGGCCCAGCAGCTTTATAACTGGTTTTCCTCAGAGGAAGCTAACAGTAGAAAGCTGTAGTTACACGCCGTGTCCGAGCTGTTCTTGGCGTGGTCACGACTGGTGCATAGCAGCTGCATTTCCTGGCCGTTGGTACCTGTGGGCTATCACTGCCCACACAGGGAGGTGTGGGAATGCTTGCATTCCCGGCCGACTGCTGTGGGAGAGGGAACATCTAGTTTTCCTTGCTTTTACATGAGAAGGTACTTCAGATCTCTCGCGCTACATGCGAGTTGGATTTATCCCCCGAACTCTGCACTTGGCTGCTCAGCGCCCGCTGACGCGCCCGACAGCCGAGCGTCCCCAGTTCTTTGGTAGCCAGCAAACCGGGGTGTGGGAGGAGTGCGGACCTCGTCCTAAGACACGGAGTGACGCTCAGCATCGTGACTTCTTTGCTTTTCAGAAACTGGATGTAGTGTCTCTATTCTTTCTTGTTCCGCCTTTCTCAAGGCCACGCTGCCCTCGGTTTGCAGAGGGTGCGGCACAAACCTGTGGTTCTGTGGGCTCGTGGCCTCGGTTGCCGGGACGCTCGCAGAAGCGGTGCGGGACATGTGCGTAGGAAGCGCGTGCCAGGAGGAAAGACGGTCTGTGCAGCACTTTTCCTTTCGGGCGACGCTGGCTTCCACAATAATTCTTAAATTCATGTCTCTGTTTGGGTTTCTCTCAGCAAACCAGTCTGGGCAGGCCGTGTTTCGGTGAGTGGTGTTTGTCTCTTCATTGCGTGCAAAACGGATGGTCTGCCGTTGAGCGAACGGGCAGGTTTGGCAAACGGCTCGGGCACGGCCTGGCCAGACGGACGCTCGTGGTAGATGTTTTCGAAGGTCCTGTCCCTTTATTTTGCGTGTTGTGCAGTGCCACAGAACGGCCTTTTTATGGTCAGCTTTCTGTATTTTGTTGTTTGTTCGCTCCCCCCACCCTGCCCCAAAAGATAAGAACGTGCATATCTTAATGTGTCCTGGGGGAGGTTTTCAGCTGTAGGGCTGGAGCAGTGGGGCTGAATCCCAGGGCAATCCCAGGGTGCTCCCCCGGCTGGGGCCGAATCCCAGGGTGTTCTTCCCTCCTTGTGCTTTCACGCTGTGGTGCCGTGGCACGAAGCAAAGCCAGGAGGTGGCATCTGCACGCCCCAGGTGATCGCTGGCTCCAAGGTCGGGGTTTTATCAGGGCATCCCTCATCTCTGTACGTCCTCAGGAGCACAAAGCTGGTGTGAGACACCGAGATTTGGGCTCGTAAAGATAGCATTTGAGCTGTTTGCAGAAGGTGCAGAGGTAGTGGTGATGAACTTGGTGCTTGCGTATTTTCCTCGCAGGTATAATGCTAGTGTCCATAGCAGGTGACTCAGGGAAGAGAAGAATCTCCTTGGCTTCGTATCAAATATGCCTGCCCCAGCTCTAACAGGCAGACAACATTCCACATGGATTTATACCATGTGTTAACATCCAGGTTACTTGTTATGGCTAAAAAACAAGTTACCAGGCCAACTTTCAACTGGCTTCGTTCCAAGTTGCTCATAGAATATATAACATTTAAAATGCAAAGAAAGAAAGAGGAAAACATCCTTTTTTTTTCCAATTTTTCTTTCTTTTTCCCCTCAGGTGGGAATAGCAGCGTGTCAGCTAGCCAGAGCTCGTGGCTTAACGGTTCTGGGTACAGCAGGAACCGAGGAAGGCATGAAGGTGGTGCTGAGGAATGGCGCTCACAAAGTGTTTAATCACAGAGAGGCTAATTACGTTGATAAAATTAAGGTAAGCATGTGTCAGGGCTCGGTGACGCAGTAGTATTTTCCTTACTAACAACACGTGAACAGTTGTTGGCAGAAGTGGTTTTGAGTAGGCTTTTGTAGGAGCAGTGGTGCACTGCCTTTTCCATTTCCACAGAAGGAAAAGCTTTTCTAGGCTGGAAGAGCTGAGCTTTTCACAGGCAGTGGCATTTGGAAACCCTTGCATTCCAGTGAATTCCAATATGGTAGCATGTCATAATTCAACATGCCAAGTAGGCAAAGATTACACTTCCTAGCGGTCAGCCCTAATAAGCAGATGAAGCACTAATTGGAGTGACTGGCATAACGTGTGATGTCCCGTACAGGAATACACGGGGGCGGAAGGAGTTGATATCATCATCGAAATGCTCTCCAACATCAATCTTGCTACTGACCTGCAACTGCTGTCCCGTGCAGGAAGGGTGATGGTAAGTACCACCTTCGCCGGCTGGAGTCTGTGCCATCCGCAGCGCAGTTCGACAGTTAAACTGGAACCATCTTTTACCCCGTCTGGAACAGGTCGTGGGCTCTAGAGGTCCCACTGAGATAAATCCGCGAGACGCTATGAGTAAGGAATCCAGCATTATCGGGGTTAGCCTGTTCCTGGCAACGGAGGTAAGAAGCATTTTTATTTTAAAGCATGTTTTCTTGGCTTATCCGACACCCTTATTTCCAGTTAAACTGTTGGTAGGGGTGAGAGCCCAGTTTCACCCTAACCTGTTGGTTCCTTCCTTTACGTTTTCGTTTAATCCCAGAACGTCATAAAATGGTTTTGTGTTGTGAAATTTGGTTTAACCGTTGCATAAATAGTCAGTAATTTTCTGAAATGCAAGGAGCCCGTGGTCAATGCTGCCTTTATTGCACGCAGGAGGAGAGGCGTGAATGTGCAACAGCGCTCCTTGACGGCGTGGCAGCTGGCTGGCTGAGGCCAGTTGTGGGCGCCGAGTACCCCCTGGAGAAAGCGGTCGAGGCTCATGAAGACATTATTCACAGCAGTGGTGCCCGAGGAAAGATGGTGCTCCTTCCCTGAAGTCTTCCTCCCCTTGCTTTGGGGCTGTTCCAGCTGCACCTTTGCTCGCAGGATTCGCTGCGTGCGTTGCGCGACACGCCGTGCTCGGGTTTGACAGGAACAGCAAACGCGTTCTGAGGTGAATGATGTTAATTACTAAACTCTTTCTTTCTGTGAGAAGCAGAGTTGTATATAATTTTTGTAGCTGTTTTGGCTGATATGGAAATAACAAATTTTCTCTGCTGGCACGGGCCGGATGCAGGGGAAGGCAGTAAAGTGGAACGACATGGTGTGAAGGTACGGCCAGGCCATGGCCCGTCCCGCAGAACGGGGCTGGCCTGCAGGCAGATGCACAGCTGTGTACACGCATGCAGGCCGCTGTAACTGGGGGTTGAGGATTCCAAACCAGTATTTCAATGGATGCTTTTGGAAACTGTTGCTGGGGAAGAGAAGGGGTCGGCAGCCTCCGCTGCAGTAACGCGTTGACTTAGCACCCTGACTCCTATCCCCCACCCCGGGGTAGGATGCTTCGTACCCCAAGGCCGAGCAGATGCCCCGATGGATAGAAGCTGGATTCTGTGTATTTTGCACGTTCCATGGGAGCTGCATTTCCACCTAGTCTGAATTTGGGGTTAACCTAGTGTGAGTGGGGGTGGGGTGGGTAGTTTTGTAGCTGATCATTCCTGTTCATTCAGGCAGGATGCAGCCGGAGGCAGAGGTGGCAGGCAGGGAATCTGCCGTTCCACTTGACAGCACTCAGAGTGGGACATTTCTTCAGGTACTAAACGGCAGGTTGAGAGTAGCAGTTAACGATGGATGTGACTGTGAAGATGATGTGCCCATGAAAAACACATTTTCTTTGTGCCGGTGTGTCTTTAAGTGGTTAATTCGTTTTCATTTGGCCCTTGGCCGGAGGCAGCCTGATGATACAGTGACTCCTGTCTTGCCTGGTGCTGCCTCTGCCTCATAGCTAAGGCTAGGGATGACACGGGAGGACCGGCTTGGTTCCGGGCTTTCTCACCAGAAGGTGTCAGAGTAGCTCTTCGTGTTGAGGAGGTGGCGGCTTCCCTCCGCAAAGGTGGCCTAGGGAACGGGACAGAGCGACTTCCACTGCGCTGGGGAGGAGCAGGACGCAACATGGAGTTCTGTTGTCCGTGTGTGATGTATCACACGCGTGTCAAATGCTTTGATTGTGGAAGTGTGGATACAAGCGGTGACCTCGGTGTGGGACGGAGCGAGGCGGCTGCGGCGGGTGCCGTCAGGCTGCAGGCAGGAGGTGACCCGGCTGCGTTGAGAGGTGCTGCAGGACTGGCTTGGGTGCTGGCTGGTGGGCGCCGTTGTTGCCGTGTAGGATCTCCTCGCTGCTGCC